ATATTATTAATTATTATATTATTATTGTATATTACTCACAAATTCATGTAATGCAGTAAAATAGAAAGAATATAATATTTTTTCAACATTTTTAAAATGGACTACGACGAATTCATCACATTATGATAATATTGTATGATATAATTTTAATGTGTTCTGTTGAATTTTTATATATTTTTAAATAAATCAATATTTTTGAACTGTATTTGACAATTTGTATACCCTGCTACCTCCCGTTCCAAACTAATGTTCATCACAAATGCATTTCTTTGCCAAAATCTTTTTCCTGATCTGATAAATGCGAAAAAACAAGTTTGGAAAGGAACCGAACTTGCTTTTCCAACATTAGGCAGTCTGTGTTTTTGCAAAACAGAAATACTTCCTTAAAATTGATTTTAATTGTAACCAAAATAACTCGAATTCAATCAGCAATCATATCAGTTCACGAAGCACGAGTATTTCGTTCACAGTCCTTTACTTTAATCGTGTTAGTGTGATATGGGTCCAATTTAGTTTGAATGCGTAAAAAGGCAAATGCCAGAAATGTTTTCAGATTGTAGTTATATTTAGCTGCAAATTTTTCTTCGATTTAATAGAAAGCTTGAATATATCAAATTATTAAAAATGATTGACTGCGCCCGACAAAGAGTGAGATCGTAAGTAAACTATAACTTTAAGAAACTGATGGAAAACTGGAGTACCTATATTTTGTATTTAACACAAATATAAGATACTTGATATAAGTATGTATATGGATTTGCAGCCAATTTTTCATGTTGTTTCCGTTTTTATACTTCTTGTAAAATATCAACATCACCTTAAATGATTAAAATCGCGTTAGTTCATTGTTTCCAAAAACCCATTTTATCTTTGGTTTTGCTGATAACAATTAGAGAGCTTAAATGCAACATTTAAGGAGAATTAAATGTAAACATTATATACTGTGCCAATATTATTTGCTGCTGCGGACTTTTAATTTAAAACACTTCACTTTACTAATCACTAATAAAGAAATTGACCATATTTTCTGTATTTTTACAGGGGTTTTGTAAGGGCACTTGCCCGAACACGCAGAGCGTTTTCGACTCCGACGGCGCCCACGTTGGTGCAATTTTCATTCAAGCATTACAAATTGGTAAAATTGCTGAAACATAGTTATTCTTCTCAAACCACAGTCTTGAGTGAAGAGAAGGAATTATATGTGACCAGCCGGAACGCATCYGTTTATCTTCCACATAAAAATATTGGTGAGAGTTCCAGTTGATGCCCGACGATTGGAGAATCATATGCACGTAGTGGCAAAACTGATAGGAGATGGTGTTGGAGGTGTAGAAAAGGATGTTTACCACCACATGGAAAGGGAAATTATGATGTATACATCAGTGTTACCATTAGTTGATTCGTTTCACATGGGGTGGAAAAAAATCAGATATTTGGACCTTTTCCTCAGTGTTATGGAGACGCTCTCAGCATGATAAATGAGCTTGCTAATAAAACCGACCGCACAGCAGCTATATTGCTAAAAAACATAACGTTTGATGGCTATAGAAAAGTAATGAAGCCTTGCAGTTCCGCTCAGTCTGAACTAATAGTTAAACGTTTGGCGCTACTTCATGCAGCCCCTATAGGAATGTGCTCACAAATGTATCATCAGTATGCAAATAAAGTCGACTATCGTATGCGACAAATAATGGATTTTACGGACAGCTTGGACCTAGTTGGCGAGCAGACAAGATTAACTAATGCTATCTCGGGTCATCCAATTCTAGATACTTATCGAGAGGTAATTTTCTGAGATATGGAGAAATATGCTAAAAGTCGTCATAAAACTCACAGCCACGTTTTCACTCCATGGACTACTATCTGCCATTGTAGTTCTTCCAGCCAGGAAATGATAAAAGTTTTAAAAACGTAAAATTTTTAGATACGCGTTATCTACAAATTGATTCTTGTGCTTCTGATATAATATTATTTATGCTTACAAGTACTACTGATCACGTTTTAACTTCTCTTTTTGAGGTTTTGTTGATTACATACTCCGGCGAGTTTAAACGCGCCGTTTCATCTTTTTACGTCGAGCTCCCTGATTACAATTTCCAGAACTTTAAAATTGAGTTGGAGTCAAAAATCGAGTGCAATATAGGTCGAGTTTTATTCGAAATAGGACGCATTTATAACGGAGAGTGTTATAATACTAAAATTATGAATGTTTTATTGTTTATGTTGTCGAAAAACTCGCTCAAACTCCCATAAATATTGTGCAATGCTTCTCTTACTTTACAGTAGTGAGAACAATGTTAAAAATGAGACAGTTTAAATAAATTCTGAAATGCATTTCGCTTCACTTTCTCAACAGTTGATGATGATGCATTATGATCAACAATCTCTATAATGCTCATGAATCCATCTAATATATATATAGATATAGATATAGATAGATATATAGCAAAATCGAACAAATGGCAGTAGTTTGAAACTGGTTGTGACTGATTCATCATATTGTGTGATGATGTATATAATTGTCTTATATACTTTAAATGTTTTATGTAGTATTTTGAATTATTGTACATTAAATCAGTGTTTTAAGCGTGTTTTTAAATTCTGATGCCATATACTACACCCCGTTCCATTTTAAAAAGTACATTTGGCTTTACTGTAAAAAGCTAATGATTGATTTTTCAAGTAGGATGTTTAAAAAAGCACCAATATATGTAAGAAGCCTAGAATTATTATTTTGATGCATTTCATACACAATATAATAATTGCGAATTATTATACTGTCAAGTCTTGAGCTACGCGAAATCTTGCCAGTTTTAATAAAGCATTGGTTTTTAGAAACGAGATTTTTCTTATGAGATCGATTTTGTTGGACATTTTTTGAACAAAAAATTGCTTGATCATTGCGGTTTTTGAATAATTATATTACACAGAGCTTTCATTCCGAAACAAACCATCTTAAATATATTTTAAATTTAGATAATACGAAAAAATATTAAAATACGCTGACTTAGCTAAGCATGGGGAACTTCTATCATACATTGAATTTAATTCTAACAGTCAGCCTTCTCAAGTATTTCTATCGGTTGTATGCACAAGATTTTGATACAGAATGTTTTTTTTACAAATCTAAAACTTGACAAAACTGGAAAATAATTATTTTATAATAATGCTTGCAAATAAATATATTAAAGAACTGAATATGTTAGTTTCATAAAAAGTATCAACTTTAATGATGATTCGACTTTTCGTGTCATATACGTCAATATGTATATTCAACTGTATATACAGGGTGTCCCATAAGCTCATGATCAAAAGGGTACTGCGATATTATTTGGATCAAAATAAGACGATCTGTCCTAACTTTTATTAACAAAAAATGTCTGGCTCCTCTGCTATTGATGGTCAAAGTTCTTCAAAAAATTGATCTTTTTTTAAATATCAGGAGAATGGTACGATGTATTTTGGTGAAACTCGCTGTGACTTTGTTCGTATGTAAGTAAGACTCATATTTTGATGAAACAATCGAGTTCAGCCGTTTTGGACAAGTGGTGAATTCTTGAGTGTCGTGGTACAAAAACTACTAGAACTTTTCAGTTAGTGGATGAAATCAACTAATTTTTTTTTCGGTTGATGCACTAATCATTTATTCACAATTGTATGCTCTTTGTTAAATCTGGTAGCATTGATCGTTTTTGCGAAAAAAAAWATTTCTGTTTACTAACCGAGTATAATTTTGTCAACCGTAATTTTTAGGACACGTCAACGTAGTTTTATTTTGTTTAAAGAAAGTCCGATTTTCGTGTATTAAAATGCTTGTTTGGCACTGAAATCCATCTTAAGTTTGCCTTAAGTGTAAAATATTTGTTTTCGCTATAAATAAATTTTACGTTTCTTAATCGATTTGAGTTGGTTAAAAAGCCGGTGTTACAGCAGATTGTGCTCTTTTCAACCCAGCCTTAATGATTCAAATGGGGATAGGATTGACAGAGTTTTTAAGAGAAGAACGTCCACACCAAAAATATTTGAGTTTTCGCCCCCAAATGCCCTGGAATTTTGTTAGCAATGCCAACATTGATATTACAATAGTTTTGCTGAATTTAAAATTTCCACCTGAATCCAGTATTAAGAGAAATACGCGAAAAATTCTTGTTAAAACAAAATGCCATGAAACTCAAATCAATTTTTCCTCAACCAATTTTTCCAGTTTTTTTTTACACAGAATAAATATTGTAATTTTCCCGCTTTGCTATACGTAGGTTTATTTTTCGGATAATTCATTATCCACCACAGTAATATTTAATTTTGCAACTGCGATTTTGAGTTTCACTCTTTCATCTTTGAAGATATTCAATTTTAGGCGACTCCCTGATGATGATAACATTTTGACAAAAACTATGCTATGTTTTGCTCAGAAACGGAAAGAGTAAAGTAGAAAAACTTTTCATAAATGTTATTGGAAATAAAGAGCGGGACACAAGCAAAAACATTATCCAGGGTGTTCTATTTAAAATAATGTTGAAATTAAAAATAAATTAATTATGAATATGTAAAATAATTAAAAATAAGTTTGAAACAACTTCCGGAATAACCGGAGGTCGTATAATGTCGCTCTTATTTCATAGGAAAAGAGCGTCTCCGAAAATGCCATTATCAAAATTTGCAGGATTCAAATCGCATTACTTTCCAAAATATTCTAATGGACGCTGACCTTGAGACACCATGTATAATTATATATGTGGGTATACAGCCTGTATCTTTCCCTTTTGAGTTTCTTATTCGGTCTTATCTAGTATGAATTTGGATGAAGTATGTTGATAGAAGGTGTTCTTTGTATATGCTGAATTGAAATATTATTTGATCAGACTGATGAATCTATAACTAGAATAAAATAATTACATCCAGCGACATCAGCAGGCCTTGTGACAAAAGTTGTTATAAACCATTAAAACCTATTTTATTTCCACCTTTTTCAAGGTAGCCCAAAATTTGACATTAAAATCAAGTAAAGAAAGCCACACTAAATAAACTTTCAATCAATATATTGGCAGAACATAATGAAATTAGCAAAAAGTGATCAAAGTCTACAATGCCAAATCTAGCAAGAGTCTCATCCGAGATGTTGCTTGCGCTCCTAATGATGCGAGAAGAGAAAGACATTCAGCTGCACAGCAAGTTTCAAGCTGCACGAAATCAGTTTCATAAACATTGAGCAAAGGCTAATCCAAGAACTCATGTGAAAACAAAGTTATGTACTTATTTAATCACTCTTAATGCTCAAATCATACCACAGTTTGAAGGTGAATCTACTATGTAGACAGGTCTACAAAACATGAAACTAAAAAGATTCAAGTTTCTTAAAAATCAAACAAAATATCAGAGAGCCAACATTTAATTTAGCATAAACAAGCAAAAATGCGCCGCCGCATATTTGGATATGTTTTTCTTTGGCTGAGAAAGCTGATTTGTTTACGGCGATCATTCAAACAAGTTGAAACGTTAACGTTGCATTTGAGAATATTGCGGTCTGAAATGAAACATTCTACAATTTGGCTGAAAAAAACTGAAATCGAACCGAATAAAGCAAGCTATGACAAATCCGGGTCGAAGGGACGATTATATCATCATGGTAGTTCTGTATCTCGATCCATTTGAAAAGTGAAAAACACCTTAAAATCGCAGGAGTTTTTTTGATAAACTCGCTTAATGTTCAGTTTTCAACGGGTATGGGACGAAATAGGTCGTGAGTCTTTTGTGTGTTGCCGATAAATGTGCTTTATGTTCACTGCGGTAGATCATCCTGTTCCCTGTTCGTTAACTGCAGGATTTAGTGTAAATTTTCAATTTGGTGTGAATCTTCATTGTGTGTTCAAGTGTAGTGAATGTCTTTGAGGATTAATAAATAAAACTAGAGAATGAAGAAGGATCTCTATCTATAAATCATCACTAGCTGAAGTGAACCCTCCGTTGTTCTTAAAATTCTACATTTATCTGTGTTATCTTTGCTGATTTCAAATAATGGGGATTTGAACTGAGTTGCTGTTATATTAAAGAATGTTTCCATTTCTTCTGGATGGCACGATACAGCTTCGGGTAAGTTTAAAATTATTTTTCCAATGGTTGCCATATAGATCGCTTCTTGTATCATACATGCTTGATTTTTATGATATGGATGCACTTTTAGGTCTATTTCTTCTGTGAATTACACCTTAAATTAGAAGTTGTTGTATTTTAAATAGAGATGGTTCGAATTTTCAAAACTAGACTTCTTTTCACTCAGTTTTTCAATATTAAATAGTCAGATTTCCTCAGTATATTATTTTTATATGAACCGTTACAATGTAAAATAAGAATGTTCTATTGTGAACACACCCTGAATTTTCTTTGAAACAAAGTTATAAACGTTACTGTTTTTCTCCTGTGAGAAAATCAAAGATGAATATAATCCAGAATCCAAACGAAAATGCCGAAAAGTAGGCGGATCTTGTTTATTACTTAGTGATGGTCTAGTGATCTCTGCCCTTTTATTTAGATTTTGCAACGTTATTCTAAATTTAACACTCAAAACATATTATTTTTTGATGCAATTTGTCATCAAAAATTCCAGCGGTCAGGATTCGTCCAAATATTCCAGTTTTTTGCCGCCCGTCGTCCTTACGTATAAACACTCTTGCGTTGTTGAATGGCGTTAATTTTTTAAGAAAAAATTCGTCTTTTAGGGATTTTTGGCGGTCCGGATCAGAACGGCAATTTATGTTTGTACCTTGTACTTTATATTTCTTCCCATATTTCTATGTGACAACATTGATGCTACTCGTATGTGCAGCTTTGTAGATTGTATAAAGTGGATTTTGCGGATATTTTAATGCGGTTTTTGGCAAATTGTAGCGCCCGGTTTTCTATGAATTCTAGCTAATTTCATGTTTTAATTTACTAATTACAGGTTATTTTCTTGTAATTTGCATTTTGTTATATTACAAAAGTACTCAATTTCCTAAAATGCAGTTTTTTCAGGTTCGCCACGTAACTCTTTAATATTTCTTTGCAGTTTCGAACAATTCATATTCTATGCTTAAATCTTTATTGATCTCTAATAAGAAACGTAGGGAAATTCAGACTTTATTCGTTCATTTTTAATAACTTCATGCATGTAAATGTATTCAGATTCAAAAAATCCAAAGATAAATCGCAGGCTTTCTAAATCTGAAAAACAACAGAGCTGCAGAGCATTGATTTATATTTTATAAATAATTTTTATTTCATATTTTCTTTGCTTGTTCACCGATTATTTTGAAATTTCGCATACGCCCTGTACATGCTGCTCAGTATAAATGATATGGGGTGATGATGTCATTGGGGTGAAGTGAACAGTGAGGAGAGGGAAGGATTTGGTCGGTATACAGAGGTTAGTGGGCTGGAGGACCACACAACCCAGAGAACCAAAATACCAGTTTCACTCCCCATTAAAGAAATACAAAACACTTTTTTTCTGGTTTAGTACAGTCCACTAGTAGTGGTATTTTAAGGTTTGTTAGACCGAGAGCACTGCTGTGATATTACTTCCTCTGATGCGGAAATGTGAAGCGCGTTTTTGGAAAAATTGATCTTCCTGGCACTTTTTCGTAGCTTAAAGATTCTAGCCCCTAGAGAAACCGAGGATTGTAACAGGCAACTAAACTAATTTCGTTTCAAATTAGAAATGATTGTAAGATCCTGTTTTATTGGTCACTGATATAGTAAAGAAAAAAACAATGTATGTACATACAGCAGACAGACTCTTGTTTTAAATGTTGACCTACAGGCTTACACGTCTTAAAAATATATTTCGAATCACAAAGGTATATTCTAATATTAAAGAAATATGGGATGGTTTATTAAGTTAATTTAAAAATAAATACCAATCTGTAAAAAATAAATTCAACTTTACTAGTTCGGGAAGAAAATTCTGTCACTAAAGTAACTTATATCTAGAACGTTTTTCACTTTGAAGAATTACACTAAGACGGAAACATACTTTAGCATATCACCATCGAATTTCGTGAGTACTCATTTAAATCAAAAAGTACCTTTTCTAAGTAAAACGTTAATATTTGATTTGGAGGAACATACTTTAAAAGTACGATGATTAACTTGAAAACAGACTTTTCATAATGTCCAAAATTCGAATAACTAAATCTCCATAGTGCGCAAATCTTGTGTAATTTAGTAAATGCTTTTTATTATTATGTTTAGAAAAAGTTATTCTCCATAAAAAGTTCGGCTAGATGTAAAATATAAAATGCAACTAATAAATATTTATTTTTTCCAGGCCTATTGCGAGGTTTGTCAAAAAATATGACTTTTTCTCAAAGGTAAAAAATCTTTGTTTCTGACAGTATCGAAAACTGTTATCAAAAACAGTTGACCAGAACCGGAACTACATTTAATTACACCCATTTTCAATAAAAAAATTATTGTTTTTTAATGTATGTTTACAATTACAATGCGCATTTAACTGTAGAATGGAATCGAAGATGCTCTGAAGTACTATAATGACGAAATAACATTCATTAATTATTTTTTTTACCAATAACATCATTGATATTTTATTAATAAGGCAGAAAATTTATAAAAAACAACACTTTTAAAAAATCAAAAATACGTGTAATTGCATATTCAAATGTGTTTTTGTTCTAGTCAACTCTTTAAATAATGCTTTTCGATATAGTTAAAAATAAAAGTATCTGTTAGTAGCATTTTACGTTTTAGACTGCAGAAAACTTTTCATGAAGAACATCATTCTTCTTAAATTTACTAATAAAAAAATTTCCATATGTGTTCAACCTGCGGAGACATACTGGATACAGTCAATATGCGTAATTGAGATGACCGTTCAACCAAACCGGATAAAATAGAGCCAAAACAAGTGGTCTAAGTAACAGTTATGTGATCAGAGTAGGAGAATTTGTATAGAAATATCTGATCGGCAATTTCAGAAGCCCTCTGTGTGCTGCTGCACGCCTAAGCTTCCGCAACTGAATAAAACAGATTTTTTGAAATAAGATGAAAACATTTTAAATTATGCAGAAATTGGAAACAATGGAAACGAAAATCGTTTGGGATAATTAACAGCCAAAAATACTAAAAATGTAAAAAAAAATTATCTGAAATGTTTACTACAACTCTGGAGACGTAAGATACTATTTAAAATATTTTTAAATACGTCCTGTTAATGATAAATTCCTTTAGAAGGGGCACGGTTGGAACAGACGAAAATGTTGATCGAGAACTATAATTAAATGTTCAATCCTTATAACATAAAAAAAAATCGTGCCTAAAAAGCTGTAATTCAAAAAACTTTGTCAGTATTATATCGCAGTGGCGCAATACAAGTCCAAAATAACTAAGAGGGTCACATCAACGACAACTGCACATTCACAACGTCTTTTAAATTTGCCTAAGCAATAGCCAAGCCTACATCACCCGGACTTTTTGTCTTTTTTTAAGAAGGCTGCAGCACGTTCAGTAATTTTTCGCACCCTACCCCTGCTGCTCACATTTCCAAAAAAACCTGGTTTTTCGTTTTCTCCTTGATTATCATCATCAGAATCCAAACTCTCTCTCGCGACCAATCTCCTTCTTTTCCGTCGAGATCTGGGTGGTGAACCCGCTTCGGAATCTGTCGTTGAAAAGATTTCATTCTTTTTTGTTTTTTGTCGCCTCTTGGCAGCTCTTTGCAGTGGCACACTGTCGTCAGATGTTTCAGAATCCGAAGAATTGCTTGAAGATGTGTCCTCGTCTTCCTCTACAACGAAAGATGGCTTGCGTTTTTGTCTTTTGGTCCGTGTATTATTTTTTATGCTACCAGCAGTGAATTCATAATCAGAACTATTTTTCCTCCGACGCTTAGGCCTACTGCTTATGGAACTATCTGATGAATCATCCGGCCGGAATTCTTCATCGTCACTTACTGCTTTGTTTCTTCGCAATTCGGACTGTACTTCAAGTAGGTTCAGAGAATCACTCTCTTCATCACTGCCTGTACTCGCATTAACTTTTTGAGACTTGAGACTGAGAGTGGAAATTGCCACATTTTCGTCCTCTGATGAGTCTGCATTACTGCTGTGATAACTATCTAACCGCTTCAATTGAACTGGCGGTCGATAGTCATCATCATTATCATCAGAAGAATCACTATCTTTGGAACTAGAGTGTCTAATTTCATTTTTATTGTTCTGCTCGCTCTTGGAGTTAGTCAATGACGAATTCACTGAATTCATATTTGACATGGTATCGTTTCTATTAATTCTAAGAAGTTTTCGACCCTGATGTCCAAGCTTTTGATTGGAATAATTATGATCAAAATCTTCCAGAGGACTTTGACTAGACGTTGATGGTTCATTATGAAAATGATTGACTCTATTTTCATTCAGTCTTTTATCTTGTTCCAACGCTAGCTCCTCTTCCTCTACTGCTGCAAAAGATGACATTTTATCCAATGTTGTATCGGATTCAGTCGCTGTATTGGATCTACTGGCAGCCTTTAAGAATTCCAGTGGAGTATTGTCACTGTCCGATTCAGAAATGCTCCCGTTTTTAGTTTCCTCAAATATAACTTTCACTGGATCGGGCTTTTCAATTTCAACTCGACTGTCAGTGAAATCGGATATGTTTCCATCACTTTCATCAGAAGTCGGGGTTAAACGACGCTGTCGTTTCTTGGCAGTACGCCAGTTTGAAACAATTTTCTTCACGTGTTCTTCAAACATTGCAGATAGTCGAACTGTCATTACATAAATCTGAAACCAAACTTATTTTAAGATGCCGTGTGATTAACTTTTGGTAACTGAAATTACTTATTGGTTCAATATAAAACTTCTTATATAATAAAATGAGGTATGCTGATGATACCGTCTTGTTAGCGAGCAGCCTTGAGGACACACACCTTTTAGAAAAATGAAACGACCGATATAATGAATACGAACTAAAACTCAACTTTAAGAAAATGGTAGTTACAAAATTTCCACAAGATCTGAACCAGGCAAACCTGACGGTGGCCAACAACACGATAGAGAATGTGTCGACATATAAATATCTAGGAACTTGGATAGAACAAACGGGTGACCAAACAAGAGAAATAAGAACGAGGATAGAGATAGGCAGCTCAACATTTGTAAAAATGAAGAAGTTATTTACGAGTCGGGATATTAACATGGAACTTAGGTTGAGATTGCTGCGTTGTTGCGTTTTTTGTACGCTCTTGTATAGAATTGAGGCATGGACCTTCAAGAAAAACCACAACGACAAGCTACAAGCATTCGAAATGTGGTGCTACCGTAGAAATTCCATGAACCGGTAGAATTACTAACGCCCAAGAACCGGATGCAGAAGGAATGCGAAATCATAAACACCATGAAAAAATCAAAGCTTCAATACCTGGGTCATAATGCGAGAAGAGGAAGGAAGAGGAGAGACAGAAATACACAATTCTCCAACTGATAGTCCAAGGAAAGAATAGTGGAAGGCGGAGCATTGGCAGACGCATTGTGTCTTGGCTAAAGAACCCAAGGGACCGGTTTAACTGTAGCAATGTTCAACTGTTCAGAGCTGCAGTCAATAACCTGAGGATTGTTGTGAGAGCAAACCTCCGATAGGAGATGCGCTATAAGAATCACTACTTACCCTAGAACGTTTGTTGGTATTAAATGTCCGTGAGTTCTGGAAAATTAGCCGCATATCGGAACAAAAATCGCTGGGAATTTTATATTCTCCTTTCGCAAGTTTATCCTTTACTGTTTCCAAGTCCATTGGATCAGTAATTACCTATAAAAAATACATGTTTACTTAGTCTTGCAAAATTAAGTTAGGGAATGTAGTATACCTGATAATATGTAGGATATTTGTTTTTATTGACTGGTTCCCTGAAAGGCACCGAATCGTCTGTTTGCCACATCAGTTCAAATAAGCCTCTATACACAGAAAACAGATCGGTTACTTTCGGTAATTCAATGAAGAAGCCTTATTGGAATTTAACTTGTGGCGTTAAAAACCAACCAGGTAATTTTATTACTTACCGGGCTTCGATTTTCCAATCATCAGGAGACTTCCATGATCTAACTGGAAGATATCTGAACGTCCTACTTGTAGATGGCTGACTGACGTCAATTTCTCCTTCACCTTGCATTCAAAATTACTATCAGTACAATCGAGTTAGCAACAATATAAATAACTTACCATCGGAATGGGAAGAATAATATTCATCGACAAGCTGATGGTATATGGACGCAATGTCAATTGCATTATTTCCAATCCTGCAAATGTTATGTAATTTTATTTTAGAAATAGTTTAACCAGCGACTCAATTCAAGTTTCATTAAATTAATTCCTAGCATTTCTTACTTGACGATCCTTAAGCACAACTCGGTCAAAATTTTGGCATGTTTAACTATAGAACTCTGCTGTTCATTGAATTTAGCTGCATTTGTCGCCAAATATCTAATATCAAATTCTGCAGCCGATACACGTCTGAAAATTTAATTATGTTAATGGTTCCATTGAAAACATATTGGCAAGCAGTTAGTGAACTTACCGATAAAAATTGTTCTCGAATCTTGCCTTTATCGTCGATAGATCTATGGGATATTCTACTATCATAGCATACGTAGGATACACATTTATATCAACTGGGACTAAAAATGGTTCTGCTATGGCCAATTCCATTACCTGAAAACAAGTACCAACATACCTAATGATATTTATTATTTAATTCAGATAATTGCAAAACACCGGCCGTATATTAAACGCACAATTTGGCTATGATCGTTCAATTTATTTATTATTATTTCAACTTATGAAAACATTTTTAATATACAAATAAAGACGGGGTGTTCAAGTTTCCTTAAAGACTGGCGATGTATTTATATTGCTCTGAAACCGGTCAAGATAGGAAAATTAAATTTGGTGCGTTTTAAGAGGTAGTCATTGAGCATTTATTGACATGCAATTAATATTTGCATGTTCATCATTGGCGCGCATAAGGGTAATGATTTCAATTTGTTGAAAGAAATCAAAAGATACTTCACTTAGATATTTCAAATTAAAGTATTTTTGAAGTACGAGTTCAATTTTCGACAAAAAACATTTCTTGACTTTTTGGTGCATGATGATGCACCCGCACATTTCACCATTAATGTAAGTAATCACGCAACGACAGTCTGTGGTCTCGTACGCGCAGGGCCCCACTTGTCTCTGTGGCCTCAAAACGTTTTATTTGTGTTAAGCAAGAACTGAATTTTTTTGGACGTTTTTTGTTTACATTGTTTGTTGAAAAAATGGTAAGTATGTTTTCACAAAATCAATTTGTAAGCATAAATATGGGTTTACCCATATTTATTAGCCTTAGCCTACAAATTATTAGCATTAGCCTACAAATATCCAGTAGATGAAAGCCAAATAGCAATGAAATGATTTTGAGCCTACTGTCTCAGCTATCTCACGCAGCTTTAATCGGCAGTCTGCCAATACGAATTTTTGTTGTTAACCTCCGTGGTAGCCCTTTTCAGGGCACCTGTGCGTGACTTAAACCGACTTGCGACCACGTTAAAACTCGTTAAACCAATTTTTGACAGTCGCAATGTATCAAAATAATGTTTAAGTATCACCCTTACTTGCGTAATTCCTCTGGCAATAGCTTTACAGACAGTGTCGCGTTCACAGTTTGGCCAGTCTTCTGAAACGGGCTTATACAAAATAGACCGTAATTCATGTTCTAGAACCGGAATCGCCGCTTTATCATCTTCCGGCAGACCTGAGAAACCGTTACTGTTTAAATTTCAATGCCATGAAAAAAATGTTATATTGATACGTACGACTATCGTCGATAGGCTCCATATCCCAAGGACTCATTCTTTCTTGTTCACCATTAGTCCAACTAATTTCGTAACACATGAATGCAGATACAGGATAAGGATCATTCGCTGGTAGCTTGCAACTTACTTCGCCAATCCACCAATTATCATCAATCATGCAACGGAACCTAATGATTTTAAAAAATGATAAGAAAAATAGTACAATTTAATAGTAGTACTAACTTTTCGCCAGATTGCCAGTCTCTTGACATAGCCGTTAAATAGCATTGTTTGAGCACAAAAAAGTCCAACACGTCCGGCATATCATGATATCTAACAGTCAAACTTCTACCGGTCAAACATCCGGTTTCGTCTTGCAAGGCTAGCTTTAGGCAGCATAGCCGGGGAGGTTTTATTTCGTAGCGAATACCTACCACTTTACAAAACTCATGACCGTTGAGCTGCATACCTTTCACCCAAGGTAATTCTTTAATGTCAGGTTCGTAAACATTTTTTTGCTTTACGGCTTCCATATACAAAATGTGCCCTAGAAAAGGAAATAACGTGAACAATTTTTACAACTCATTAAGACGACGTTATTTTGTCCATACCCTGAACAAAGTAAACAATTTCATCGTGCATCTGAGGATAATATGGAGATTTTCTTGGCCTCGTTTCTGCCAGCCACTCACTAAGTTTATATTGTTCGGACACCTAAAACGATAAGTTTGGCAAAATGAAGAATTGAGAGAATATTTTTTAAAGCTCTACTTTAAGTTTTGGTCCTTGTGAGGTGCTTGCAACGGCGCTACATGACGGTTCAGCGGCGGTAAGTTTTGCCATTTGTCCCGTTTTTGGAACCGGATCTTGCTTAGGAATAACGGGATTTTTGGGCACAGCTGCTCTTGTCGATCCCTGTTGTCTTGAAGTTGATGGCTTTGGAGATGCATGCCGGATTTTTGCCTATATAGACAAAATAATGTTTATTATAATTAATAATAAATTAATATAACTTAATAAGAGAGAGAATAAGGTAACTACCTTATTCTCTCTAGTGGATCTTGATTTGCGTTCTGTTCGTTCCTGATCGCTCACGCCCTCGGAGTCTTCTTCGGTTTGATCAGTGTCATCCGTTGTATCATCACTATCCGATGATGTTTCGCTACGATTATACTTGTTATTGTTACGACGCGTTGACCTGTGATCATAAGTTATCAAATTAGAAACATTATTGTTATTTAAAAAAGTTCCACTACCTTCGTCGTTTCGCCTCTGATATTTCTTCCGTCCAGTCAGAAAATGAAGACTCGTCGCTTGCGTACGGACAAAGTGGCCCAATATCATAAATATCCATATCTACTTCCTGTAGAACAGAAAACAACCATTAGTCTCAGCTGTTTTTTGGACCTTCGACATTGCCTCGATATAAATACCTGCTTTCGTTTCCTTGTTCCGTTGGGTGCACGTTTTCTCGGTACCTTCTTTCTGGGATTACTAGGACCGGCAGTGTTAATCATAAGGGGTCTTGTACGTAACTGCCTCTGGTACTCCTTCTTCTCAGCCACTTCTATTAATTTCCTAAGAGCAACAATTTATGGGATCACTTTTGTCATAAACACACCTTACTTTTCGTAATAGAGCATTACCTGATTTCATTTGACCTTTTTAACACTGAAGGGCTAAGTGGCTTTACTAATAAGTTTTTCTTCCATTCGATGTTGTGATCCGTCTGCCAGTCACCTCTGCTTTGCCGGATTCTTCAAAAATGTTAAAGGCGATTGATAAATATATAGGCATAATAGGCAATATATAGGCATATAGGCAATGTAAATAATTAATCCAAAAATGTAGATGTTTTGAAAAAAATCATTGTTTATTAAGCATACCGATGAGTTCGTATAGATCCTCCTGCATTACCACGGACATCATCGTCGTCTTCCGAGTCAACTACTACCCGCTGTGATACATCTTGAATCACTTCCTGAATGCCTGAATACGAAAATATTCGTTAACCTAGACTATTTAATCGGGTTTGTATTATTTAAGTGATTAACCAGGCGTAATGATGTTCAACAAAATTTAATGAAATATTACAAATATTGAAATTGAAATCACAAAAACTGTATGTTACCTTCTGTTATATTGTCCAGAAGCAGTAAAAAAAGAATGTGTTAATAAGGTATCAAAAATGCAGACGCATTTGCAAGTTGTGCACGCATCTATAAATTACCTTCATTTCCGATGACAATATTGGGAACCAATTGATCAACGTTACAATTTTCTCGGCCCGGCACCAGCCGCTGTAACATTGGAGGATAAGGATTTCCGTCAATATCGACCAGAAATGGAGGAGGCATTAAATGTGGAGGAACCTGAGTTTGTTCATCTAAAACCCAATTATTTTGGTCTCTCACTAGCGGACGATAGTCTGTGTGAAAAAATAATTCCCTCGGAAGCTGCAAAAGTGATAATTTGTAAAATTGTTTATTTCACATTATTCATATACATACCTGCTGGTAAAAAGGACTTCCGATTCCAAAACCGAAAGTCATAATGTCTCCGTGAGAATCGCTCGCTGAAATGGAGCATCCATCCGGACTCCATTTCGCATCAAAAATTGCACCGTAGCCCTGCCCTGAAACAACAGTACCATTCACAATTTTCCTTTCTGTACACAAAAATACAACTCCTACCTTCTATGGTGTTTAGATATTTAAAGAGAATATCGCCTCGCTGTATATCCCAAATCAAAAGCTGGCCGTCATGTCCGGCAGACAAAATCACGTCTTCATCATGTGGGTGAGGTTCAAGAACATAAACTTCATCAACATGCCCTAAAATTAAATATAACTATAAAGACCCAAAACTTATCTATAATCTATCAATCAATATTATAATTAATAATATTTATTAATATATAACCTTTCAGTATCTTAATTAACTGCCCATTGGCAGCTGACCAAATTTTCAACGAGTAGTCACTAACTGCAGTTACCACGGAAGCATCCGATTTGTCCCATGCAACCATTGTAACTCTAATTTTTTTGGAATCGGGCTCTGAGCCTGGCTTATCACTAAAAAAATTACTGAACATAGTTATTAAAATATAATAAAACATTAAATCATTGTCGGCTTTAATCTGAAACTCAGATCAGATGCAAAAAACAATTATAATGCAAAATTCTAATGGCGGCACAAAAACCAGCTCTTACACCAAAAATTAATAATAACAAAACACTGTATTTCCAAAAATAAAAATAGTTACCTTGCAAGTTTTGTGGACATATCCAGATATAAATTTTTCCACTGTTGTCTTTCAAACCACCATATGACGGCAGTACCGTCTTTACTACCCGACAAAAACTTTAAACCGGAATGAGCCCATTGTATAGAATCAACCCTATCTGTATGTGCCTCTGTCTCAAGGATTCTTTGAGGACCTTCATCACCTGGCAAATTTTAATTTAAGGCAAACAAATACTGAGTATTGGTCAAATTCTGATGCGTACCTTTCATATAGTACACTCTCACATGGTGGTCTGCTGAACCTGTAGCTAAGAATGTTCCACCCGGACTGAACGACGAACAAATCATTTGAGCTTGCCCAGGCCTAATTTTCTCTTGATATAAATTTGGAGTATTTCTGCATAAAATCAATAAGTAGCATACAATAAACGCTATCAGAAAAATGTTCATTTAGTTTACCTAAATTGGACTTTATTATCTACCCCTTCAGAATTGTAGATCCAAAATGCGATCGACCCATCTGTACTGGTGCTTATTAAGTACTTGTGGCCCCAACAAGGCGTAGGGCAAAAATTTACGGAAGTTATCATTCCAGTGTGTCCGGTAAGAACTGCTATTGGCGCACCCGTTTGTAAGTCCCAAACCTGCGAGATTTGAGGCAGGTCAAACAAAGTGTCCCAAATGTGAAATTTTGTCTTACCCTTAAAATCCTATCAATCGAACCAGCCGCAAGTAGATGGTTTTCAGGATCGACTGCAATATCTGTAATTTCTGAAGACGCCCCGCGGAAGGCAGCGATTAAACGACCTGTCGCGGAAGACCACAACTTAATCAAGAGATCGTCAGCCCCAGTAATAACGTACCTGCAAAACAAGATTTAAAGCTATTCATAGTTACATTTAAAGTTTTTCACGCTAAATGGGAGTTTTTTACCCCTAGTCTACTCCCAAACGCAACCGTAGTTTGCATTAAATGCGATAGAACAAAAAACCATACAGAAAAAACACGAGCAAAATGTTAAATTGCTTCAAACCCCATAGGAATATTTTTGCCAAATTTGGGAGGTCAATAGCTATGAACGCTACATGTAGGATGTAAAGAAAAGTATAGTTTAAATAACTCAACTAGGGTCACTTTCGGATATAGAACATGTGCTTAAAATCGTACCCTTTTTCCCATGAAACCCCTTGTATAGTCAAACATGAGCCTTTAAAAAACTTTAGTTTCTTTTTAAATTAATCTGAAAGCCACTTACTTTCCCGAATGATCAAATAAAAGACAATAAACTGCTGATAAATGACCAATGGTGATTCGTTGCATCTGCATTCCTTTGTATATTCGGGGACTAATGATGTTACTTCTTGATAGGGGGCCTCCGGTTTCATTTCCTCTTATACTGTTAACTAGAAGATAACGTTAATTTTATAACGGATTTTGTCATGAGGTGCTATGTAGTCGAACCCTATGTAGTTTTTCTCTACTTGGAAATTAACGCCAGAAAAAAAATATGGAAATTTGAAAATTTCAGTTTTCCCCAAATAAGTTAGAAACGAAAACTCGTATCAAACATCTGAACGCGCCATTTTATAAGTCTTTTAATTGCCCAACTTTTCTCCCATCTGATCAACTTTGCATCATTTAGGATTTCCCATATGCCCATACTGGCCCTTGTTATCCTGGACACAGTGTATATTAGATAATTCTCAAAAATGCTTAAATTTTTGGGCTGTAAAAATAAGCTTGTCCCACATAGTTGCTAGATACAGTTGAGCTTCAAGTTTTCACAACCATAACACATTACTTGCCACTTACTTATATTGAATGGAGCTTTAGCATCTTGTATGGAAACACCACGATATCTCGACACATTGTTAAAGTATTGTCGATGGTTGCTATAAACTCCATTCTCATTTTTTGTATTTGGATGAAAACTAAGAAATGACGGTGCCAATCGGGTATTTGGATTTAAAACACTTGAGGCCTGGCTGCACAAAAAGTAGAGAAAGTCTGGTCGAATTTGGGGATTTTGCCTTTCCTAAAATTTACCATAAATTGCAGTTTTAGTCACAAACACTTATAGAATTTGGTGCTTAAACAAACCATATCGTCAACTGTGGTGTTATGCTCATTTCCTTGCCAGTCAAGTCTCTTTGGTAAAATCTGCGAAAATAACAAAACAAACATTCACAACATTTTGCTTGTTTGTAAATAAATCAATTTTATGCTATTTTACCTGGTGTGCATGTAGTTCTTCATTGAGAGTCTAAAAACAAATAGAAGATTTGGATTAGGATATACAGTTTGATATATTAGCTATAAAGTGAATTAAGTCATTGAGGGCACCAAATGAAAACAGTTGTAAAAGTTTGCTATTATAAAAGTTCTTAACGGTCTATAACATTTGTTTATCATCTGTGACTATTTTACATAGTGCCAATTTGAAGAATATTAAATAACTTACCTGTAAGGTTCGTTTAAGTGGCCCATTAGAGAGAAACCTTTGAATCAGGAAGTACACTTCTACAAAGAAAGGATTTGTATCGAAAAACAATCAAATGGGCACTTTTCCATGTTACCTGATGTTAAACGAGATCTGTCCAGTTCACTGTTTGCGTTTGAACTCGGTTTTACTGAATCCATTTTATTGTAAATACAATGTTTTCTTGAAAAATAAATAAAAAACTACATTGCAAAACCACATCGAGGTTATGTACTGGCGATGGAGCAACACTCGTCTCTCATCTCTTACGAAGTTAGAGGTTTGTTAATGCCCACCGTGTCACCGTTTCTATTTCTCTAGTGTTTTGGTCGCTTTTCATTCTTACCAATTATTATTTTATGCATTTTCGGCCTTTATATTGCAAATACTATGTAGGATTTGTAAGAATTTCAAACAGTTTGCATTAATATTGAAAAAGGTGAAGGAATTATGTAGTGACGGTCGTTGCTCTCGCTCGCACACATTGAGATTTAGTGAAATGTAAACTTTGGAGGCATGTTACTGACCCAAATAAGTGGATAAAAAGGGTTTTTTTCGTTAGTAAGAATCGAACACTACCCAGAGTTCGGAACGCTGGGTGCCTTAGGGAAGATTTTTATTCCTCCAGCCGTCCGGCAAACCAAACCTACCAAAAAATAAAAAAGTGGATAATTATTAGTCAGGCTGTTCTTTCCATATAATCATATGTAATTCAGACATTTTAAATCTAAGAAAATCTTTAAATTTTTGAGATATTGACTTTCAAATTATGCTGGTGCTTTTTCAAACTTTTGCAATTCTTTCCTAATTTTTTGAATAGCTAGGACGAAACCAGCTCTGGAAAATATTTTGTTAATTGTGAACAGGACAACGTGGTATAAGTTTGATTCCTTAAAATTTTATATATTTCTTCATAACTTTCCAAATTCAGGATTTTATAATAAAAGTCAATTGTATTTAGAAAATCTTTTAGTCACACGCTCTATGCCAAATAACTACTTTATAATTTTCCAAATATTTTAAATTGTTTCTCATACATACCTATAAAATTCAACTTTGGCAGCCCCATAAGCTTTAACTATTTCACTAAAAAGATATAGATCTTTTTAGAGATTTAGTTATAATTGTAATAATGTATAATAAATAATGTACCGCTAAAAAAATAAATACGGCTAAGCCATGTATAATAAATAATCTATTTTGTAAAAACTATAGACAAAATTAAACGCTTCCCATTATGAGACGATGAATACGAAGGTACGATCTGGGAATCATATATGCAGTTGCATGCATCATTTAGTTCTAAGAAAATATTGTTTAAGTTGAGATAAAGGAAAGTTCAATGAAAACCTAATTTGGATTAATGTTTATTCGATACTAAATTAATTAGGACTGTAGAGACAAAACTATAGTTAGACAAGAAACTAAAAAAATGACACTATATATTCTATAGAATATATTCGTTTTTAATTTTTTTCTGGTAGGTACTTTTACTAAGTCGATAACACACAAGAATTATGGTTGTTGGTACGTCAAATTAGTTATATATTTAGCTTTCTGATAACCATTTCTGAATATATTTTCCTATTTGAATTCTGGCTGATTTAAGATCAGATGGATCATCATGACTTGCAGGGTACATGTTGGCACAATGAGCAGTTCCTAAATCAAAAAATCTTGTTCAGTTTTTTTGTAAATATGCATTTTCCAACCACTTACCTTTGATGAAAATTGCTGGGGCGTTTGCATTGATCGTTTTAGTTATTCCTAGCATATGCCAGGGATCCACAGAACCATGCACAAAAACAACATTGCTGACCTACAGTTAACAATTGATAAAAGCTTCGGTTTTTTGAAATCTTGAATTCCTACCTTAATATCAAGACCACCATACAAAATGTTAGTGCGGTTGGAGGCTTTATTCACGTATTCTTCGGTGAATTTTGAGCCAAAAATATCGGAACATTGCTGAGTCCAAAACTTGATAGGAAACCGATCGCTGAATATTTGCGGCTTCTCATCGGAGGTTTGGAAGAAACCGAATTCATTGCATGTTTGATACATCCATTGTCGACCTGAAGACAAAATCAACCGTACAAAATACAATTTTTATAAATTTTTCTTCAAAACGGATCAATTTCAAATTTCTTTAAAACTCAGATATGAACAGAGTGATTGTCTAATTATTCCGGAATGTTTAAGGTAGTAAATTACACATGATCAAAGTTTTTTTGTAAATATACAGGGTGCTTCTAAATGTCGGTAACGGTAAAGAGTAGTCTCCGTAGAGAGTAGTGTACCGTAAGCTCATGATCAAAAGGGTACTGCGATATTCTTTGGACCAAAAGAAGACGATCTGACCTAACTTATATTAACAAAAAATGTCTGGCTCCTCTGCTATATTGATGATCAAAGTTCCTCAAAAAAATTATCTTTTTTGAAATATCGGGAGAATGGTACGATGTATTTTAGTGAAACTCGCTGTGAATTTGTTCTTATGTAAGGCTCATATTTTAATGAAACAACCGAGTTGAGCCGTTTTGTACAAGTGGTGAATTCTTGGGTGTCGTGGTACAAAAACTATCATAACTTTTTAGTTGGAGGATGAAATCAACTAATTTTTTTTAGGTTGATGCACTAATCAATTGTTCACAAATTTGTGCTCTTTGTAAAATCTTGTTGCATTCACAATTTTTGCGTAAAAAAATATGTCTATTTTCCAGTCACTTAGCAATGCTAGACATTTATTGCAAATATGCGACGCGTAAACGCGTACGCTTTCACGCAAATTGTCTTCGCAAAACCATAATACTTTGACCATGTCTGTTACTTCTTCATTAGAAAAGGTCATTCAAAACGAAATTGTGAGATTGATTGACAATGATTTTATGCCTCGTATCACGATATTTGCAGTTAATGTCTAGCATTGTTAAGTGGCAAGGAAACAGAAATATTTTTTTCACAAAAACTACGAATCCTACAAGATTTCACAAAGATCACAAAATTGTGAATAAATGATTAGTGCATTAACATAAAAAAAATGAGTTATATTCATCCTCCAACTAAAAAGTTGGAGGATGGTAGTTTTTGTACCACGACTCTCAAGAATCCAATCATTGTCCAAAACGGCTGAACTCGGTTGTTTCATCGAAATATGAGTCTTACATATGAACAAATTCACAGCGAGTTTCACTAAAATACATCGTACCATTCTCCCGATATTTCGAAAAAGACAATTTTTTTGAAGAACTTTGATCATCAGTAGCAGAGGAGCCAGACATTTTTCGTTAATAAAAGTTAGGTCAGATCGTCTTCTTTTGGTCCAACGAATATCGCAGTGCCCTTTTGATCATGAGCTTACGAGACACCCTGTATATCTACCTAGGTACATTTGGATGCTTTCTCTTCAATCTAAGGGATGTCGACATTCCAAATACGTTTCGACTTTTCTTTATTAAGTTCGAATGGTCTCACAACCATTTAACGTTCTCAATCTGCAGAGTCATACATTTTAAACGGTTATGGCTTAACTTTTTTCCGTCACGACGTTGGCAGATTCTGAACTGAATATTAAGTTTCCGTTTATAGAATTATTTTTCCTATGAAGTCGATTTTTCTACTTGCGTTATCGAGATAAAAGAAAAATATAAAGCGATTTTCTGGAATTTGCTAAAGCAAATTGAAAAATTAAAATTCGGATAAATTACTTTTAATAGGCAAGTATATTTTACGATATATTTTAGTTACTGAAACAAAATAATTATTAAATGCAAGTGATTAATTTTCCATTAAGGGTTGCCGATGCAAAAAAAAACGTTTTTAAAGCAAACGCAGCATTTACTTTGTAATTTAGAAGCAACCATGGCAGAGGCAAAAAGTTATTGGCAAAGCTATAGCTGGAACTCTAAATAATATACCACCCTGTAAATGGAAAAATCCCAATAATGTAAATTCATCAGTGGTCACTATATTTCAAATGTCAGCTTAAACAATCAAGAACTTTAAAGATATTCCAAAATGTCTAAGGTGTAAAAAACAAACAAAAAGTACATTCGAACAGTCCTCAGACCGGAAAAGTAGAGTTTGCAAATCTGCGATTTTAAAACACCAAAATATACCCCAAGTTTCGACTTTTATTTGATCATATTGGAATAGCATAAAAACAAATGTATATTTCTAACCAATTGAATAACTGGGTCAGTATAAATAATTTGTTGGTAATGGTAGCAGAATCTATGAGTTTTTGATGAAACTGTTTTAAGACACATTTATTCAGCTTTCGATAAAAAATCTTTAGTATTTCATAATATTCAACAATATGTTACCTCCTTCTGAAGCTGAACTGTTCCAGGTTGTTTTCGTCATGTCAAGAATCATGTTCACATAACTAAAGTCCAAACATTTTTGGTCGGTTGCTTCCAACATTAACGAATTGAAATTTGCCAGTCTCTGGATTTCCGTCTTTGTTGCTGGATCCGTCATGATGGAGCAGATGGTATTTAAAGTAATGTTTCCAAGCAGAGTTCCTTTTGTGCTGAGCCTGTTATCTTTGTTGTATTGGGCAATACCTTCGATTAAAAATTACTTTGATTAACGGAATGCAGTGAGTTTACAACAGGAATGTAATTACAAAATATTCGGTTAATCGAGTAGATTGGAGACAAATTTATGTTGCTGTAAAAATCGCAGCTTCGTTTACGTGAAAAAATCGTCTACTCTTAATATTCGCAGAAACATATAGTGGTTGTTAAACGCCCTGTTGTGAGTCTGCCTTTTAAAAGCACATCCCTGAGATCAATTCTATTTATGCAAAAAATGGCCGTATTTTGTGAACAATTTGCTGTGGGGTTATCGACTTATGAGCTCAACGTTACGTTACGCCTTTTGCTTAACGGTGAACAGGACAAATTGTGAACAAAAGTTTCTCTGAAAATGTTCAAAAATCTATACAGTTGCTCATTTTACCTTGAAGGCTTCCTAAAGGAAGAGGTTCCGAATGCTTTGCGGAATTAGCTAAAATGAATTGAAGAGCCAGTGTAGCAAAAAAAGGCGATTTATAAATTCAAAACCCTACCTAATATTGTGTCATTTTAATATCACTTTAAAAAGAGATTCAAACAAATTTGATTTCATCTTTTTCAATTTCGCAAGTTAACGTGCTCTTTCTGAACCTCTGAAACTAACGGACTTTCCGAAAACACAAATTTGAAACCTTTTCAGTTTCCCAAAACACACATTTAATTCATCCAGCTAAAACATTTTCAACTTTCTGTGTTTTATTCGACTGATTGGTCTCGAATATGTAAATTTTTGACTTGATATACTGCGTGTGTTTTGAATTGCAGTTAACTTACCCGCAAAATTTCCAGCCAAAGTTGCGAAAAAGTTAGAAACATTTTTCTCAAACCATAAGTCTCCTACCAGATCTTGACAAAGTTTAAATAAGGAGCGCAAAGTATTTAAACCTGCTTCGTCGGTTAGAAACAGTTCAATCTGAGCGGTGCCTTCTTTTACAGCCGTATAACAGTTTTCATCTACTAAACGCAGATCATCAGCAATCACTCCGAAGTATGCTGAAATAAGAAAAACTCCTCCTTAGAAAGCGAAAATATTAGCACATATTTCCCATATCAAAGAGCACACTTGCCAAATCTTATTTTGGGTGTGATATGCAGAGCATTAAAAAAGAACGAAGAAAAATAGTAGAAATTCTTCGTTGATGTAAAGTTTTAGGTCATTTAATTCAACAAAAACCTTTACCTTGAAAATCTGGAATAGCTAGCAATGGACCGCTGGTGCTTACTGAGCCACTTATAAGATGAGGATATTTTAATCTGGCCCAAGCTGCTAAAGATCCGGGATACGATCCTCCAAAAGCAATCCATTTTATCTGCAAATAGATGTTTTTATTAACGTAGCAAAGGCTTGGTGCTACCATGCTTACATCTGAGGACAGTTTGTATTCTTCATTCATAGATGCCACAAATAATGCTAGATCGGCCAGGGCTTGTTCACTAGTTAAATATTCCAAGTTATCAACACTTAGGTCTTCTGTAGGATGACTTTTTCCATAAAAGCGATGTTCTAGCTAGAGAAACAACAGAAGCAAACAATAGTCGCTTTAGTATGTAAGCCAGCAGTTGTTCAAGCTCATGAAGATTTGAGGAATCAAAAAGAAGCTTTTCGAATCATATTAAATTATTCTGCAATGAATGAAACAATATGAACTGAACTTATAAGGCTTAAGGCTGAATAATAAAAACAACCTTTATATTAGTGCATTATATCCATTCATAGTACTGACTTGAAACAAGATAGCATTAAACTGTTTTCCATATTCGACCCATTGACCATTGGTCATCCAAACATCGGTAGCTTCACCTTCGCCTCCAATCATCAGGAAGGCCACATTGCGCTTCTCTTTATCGAAATATTCATCATTAACGTAGTATCTCTAAAAACAATATTTGTTGATCAGTCTTGGTAAAATTATTTATGTGGTTGGTCGATTTCTGACGGTTTTTACTTACCTGGTTCCAGGTCCTGCTATCCGAGCGAAAATGGTCTAGATTCTGGGTAAACCATCTCGTAAAATTCTTAGGGGTTTCAGCAGAATCCTGCAACTTCTGTGTCTGACGCAATATGTTTTCATTTATTCTACCGTTATAGAAAAATCGCCATGCGTAAGCATTGGCGATAATTGCCGAGAAAATCAAGCTAACGACCAAGTACTTCATCTCTTCTGCTATAGAGCATAAATCACTTATTTTTCATACGAGTTAATTTCTTCTTTAAACACTTTCTAGCTTTTACAATACCTAATGCAAGCGGTGTTTCAACAATAAAAGGCTGCGGCTTAGTGTAATTATCAGTCTACTTATTCAATTGAGATGGTTCTGAAATGCAGATAATAACGGCCAATGGCTTTCAAGCAAAATTATCTCCAATGTTTAATAATAATACTGCGTTGATTGTGACTTTATCTTAATTCTCTTCTAGGATTCAATTAAACGTTAAAGAGCGTTTGTTTTGAGAAGTAATTTTAAAGTGGATGTAAATCAGTTAACAGCGTATTATTGATGAGAAAATAATTAAAAACTCGCGTTGTTTAATTGCGCAGAATATTGTAAGATTCACGCCAATTATTGTTAAAATGTTGTATTTCCTTCAACTCTTGACCTTTTGTTACTGTACAAAGTACTGTTCGCACTTTAATCACAGTTATTTTCGAAACGAGCACACTAAGACACTAATATTGATAGAAGGTGTTCTGTACTTTTTTTATCAAGAATAGTTACACTTTTAAGACCTGTTAGGTATTGACCACCTCTTAAAAAACAAGAGAAATATTTTTTAGTAAGTAATTATTTGCTTTCTCCTGGATTTAAATTTACATGTAGGTACCTTTGGTGACCAAGGCACGTTTTAATCTCTAATCACCAACACTAAATGACTACTAATTCACATCTATGTACAGGATGATTCATCTTAGTCAAGGCTATAAACTTATTTAGCTCAACATAATTTTTTATTGAGAGCATTTTTTCACATTATATCAAAAAGCGGTCGCATTTCTTTATTATGATTTACAGCAATTTCCTTTTTTTATATTATTTAATAACGTAGTCAGTCAGTAAAAAAATGCAATTGTTATGACACTCTATACCACCAAAAATTGAATTAAATACATTTAGTCGTAAGTCGTTTCAAATACTCATTCAAATTCCTGAATTACTTCAAAATAATTTCGCTATTGCCACTAAAAATTTCTATTGGGATTTCGCAGATAAGTAGGAAGAAACATATAAAAAAATGCAAATCCTAATCAATAAAATGAGCATATTAAGCGGATTCCCAACGGAATAACTCATTTTATTGAACCACTCTGTATATTCACTAATTTCATGGTGTTTTCCCTGCTCAATATACCTATAACAGATGTTTGATGACAAAAATAATTATTTTAACATCTCTTTCTACGTGCGAAAATAACATAAAATATTCCAAATATGCTTGGCTAAAAAATAGCAAACAAACACATTTTTAGAATAATGCAAAGCTAGTTAATCCGCGGGCTTCCAAAATTCGTTTGAAATGTATTTATGTGAGGAAAAGCGCATACTTGTTACATTTAAACAGCACTTGATGAGATACATGCTTCAAACCTAACATTAAAGACATTTTCACTTTAGAGCCGGCAAGTTTTCTCAGCTGACAATTTTTTACAGAAATTAGATAATGAAACAAAAATACATTTCCTATATTACAAGGCGAAGACTTTATTGAAAATTATTTGGGACCATCCCATGTCTATTATTTAGGGCACACATTGATTGTTTATTAAATAGAACTGATAGCACTACTCGATCCACCCTTATCAAACGCAGTTGGAAATAACAACTACACACAATTCTCGTCCAACTTTTCAAAGCAAGTTTGTTTGAATAGTTGGAATTGAATAGTTTTAAACTCCTGAATCTAGACCGAACTCTGCCAGGCAGAATATGTTTTAATTATCACGAGATTTAATAAGTTAAGAAGGTGAAAACTGGGAACAAAGAAGTAGTTGAAACTATGATAAATTTTCTTTAATAGGCGAAGTTGCGTTGCGTGAGTGAAAATATATTTGAGTTATTTCAAGACAATGAAATTCATCAATCTTTTGTTTGAGTTTGATGTGATTTGGCATTAGCTCAGGACTGACGGATTTGGCAGGCACTTCGCAATTTTTTTCCATCAAACTTCTACAAGAAGCTCCAGCTTACTAATTGAAAAGGTGGGTAATTAAGCGCTGGGGAAGTTCTTCCAATAAGAAAGTTTGGGCGTGAATCAGGAACCAAAATAAATGAGGCCTAAAACCCTTATAATTAGTTCGAATAAATCAAGGAAACTAATCCTTGATTAATTATTATTAGGTGTGTGAAGGCGTAAAACGTAATTTACTAAACACCAGCTGTGGGCGGTTTTACGTTAAGGCGCTTCCGGTTTCTGGCAACTTGCAAGTAAATATTCGCGTGTTTATGCTCACTGGGTTTCAACATTTATTTTGAATAAGTGAGCATCTTAAAACCTTCTGCGTGATGGTGAACATCAAACGGAATCTAGATGTTAAACCCCGAAATTTACCCACACAATTTTGTAACTAAATCCTGCATATTCAGGGGCCATGTGAAACACATCGAGTTGCCCGGATTTCACTGAGTTTCCTCTTGGATTTGATCTATTTTGGCACGTCTGTAAACTGGCAATGTCGAATGAAATAGTCTTAGCATAAATCGCTGTTTAGTGTGCGGCGTTTTACTATTTTCCTGTTTAATTGAATATATTTTTCATTCCTTACTTAACACAAATTTCTTGCGTTCAAAATGTTGATGTAAAAACTCCATGCTCTCTGAAGATTTTCGGGCGTCAGTGCTTTAGTATCTATTGACTGTTTGTTTTTCGTATTCTTCCAAATTTTTTCAATTTTTCTAGGGCTGATCCAGTTGATGTCTAGATTTTAGCTGTTTGCATGGCTACAGATTTAAAAATATTTATTGTCTTGTTTTGTATTACCTTGTATGTTTGCCTATCGTCCGCAAACAATTCTTTTAAATATAGTAAATACTTCAAAATTTTCTTGTGGATAAAAAATATTTTCTTGCATTCATTCTCGCGTGAACCATTGAGTAGCCAGTGCTTGCGGGTATTTCATACTCCACCTTCCTATGGTCGTAAGTTGTAACTGCAGCTACTGTAACTTGTCAAGGTGTAACTCATCACTATTAGCATATTCTTGAATACACATGTTTTGCGGGGAAATTTGAAAAAAAACGAACAAATTTTGTAGAATTGCTGATCCCACCTTATCAGTTAACGCTCAGGAGAGTGTTCGTATACGAAATACAAGGATTTTTAAGTATTTTATGAAAAATACATATCGGGTATTAATACTAATACATATCGGGAAATAATTTTTCAGAAGTATTAGATAAACGCCATCTGAGACTTATGCAAAAATGTGCCAGTTATCGAATATTAATTAATAACCTAAACTTGATTAAACTTAAGAAGCTGCATTTCAGTATTATATAATTCTGAATAATTTGTTTCATGTTAGCTCTAGTACGTATAGTAGTAGTTAGGTGTGAAAATGTTCAGTAATTGTCGAAAGGTTTTTTCAACAGACAGCATTTTCAGAATATCGAAAATTTATTCAAAACGAAACACTAGCGTATCCTTTCTTTCATTGATAATGCGAATCGTGTAGGAAATACGTGCCTTAATCAAAAATGAGCTTAAGTCAAAGTTCCCTACTTTTTGTACAATATGTATTAAACGTTTATCTCCTTAGAAAAATAGAAATTAGCAAATCTCATGATTACACCACAGTAAAAACAATTGTACATACTTTCCTGACTGTGTCAATTCCAAATCAAAATCAATTCCTGGGCTTCAGTCATTTATTGTCTCTATTTATCAATCAAAACACGTTTCGGTGTTTTCCACCATCATCAGTTTTTCTAAAATAACAGATAGTTAGATAATTTAAAAAACAATCACAGTTCGTCAACAGCTTCATCATATCACACACTAAAATACATCACAATTGCAACACTTTAAAACATTCTAAGATTAA